TTTTTTTCCCAGATTTTTTCCCCAGAATTCCCAGGTTTTCCCGGGGCTCTCACCCAGCTCTCCATGCCCTTGCTGAGGTTGGGATGCAGCACCGGATCCTTCCCGGCCGTCACCAGCAGAGCCGGGATCAGGATCTGCCAGCAGGGAATGGGGGCGATCCAGGGGCGATCCCGAGGGATTTGGGGGATCCAGGGGGGATTTTGGGCGATCCAGGGGCGATCCCGAGGGATTTTGGGGGATCCAGAGGGGATCCAGGGGGGATTTTGGGGGATCCAGGGGCGATCCCGAGGGATTTGGGGGATCCAGAGAGGATCCAGGGGGGATTTTGGGGGATCCAGGGGGGAATTGGGAGGGATTTTGGGGGATCCAGAGGGACTGGAGGGGATCCAAAGGAGGAAAAAAAAGGGATTTGGGGGATCCCGAGGGATTTGGAGGATGCAGGGAGGATTTGGGGGGGTCCAGAGGGGATCCCAAGGGATTTTGGGGATCCAGAGCAGATCCTGAGGGAATTTGGGGGATCCTGAGGGACTGGAGGGGATCCAAAGGGGGAAAAAATGGGATTTGGAGGATCCAGGGAGGATTTGGGGGGTCCAGATGGGATTCCAAGGGATTTGGGGGATCCCGGGGGAATTTGGGGTATCCAGAGGGGGAAAAATGGGATTTGGGGGATCCAGGGGGGATCCAGAAGGGCCCAGAGGGAATTCTGGGGATCCAGAAAGGAAAATTGGGATTTGGGGGGGGGGTCCAGAGGGGATCCCAAGGGATTTTGGGGATCCAGAGCAGATCCTGAGGGAATTTGGGGGATCCTGAGGGAACTGGGGGGATCCAGAGGGACTGGAGGGGATCCAGAGGGGAAAAAATGGGATTTAGGGGATCCCGAGGGGATCCAGGGGAGTTTGGAGGATCCATGAAGGATTTGGGGGATCCAGAGGGGGGAAATGGGATTTGGGGGATCCAGAAGGGATTTGGGGAGATCCAGTGAGAGTCCAGAGGGGACAAACGGGATTGGGATTGGGGATTGGGATTGGAAAGAGGATCAGGGAATGGGATCAGGATGGAGTTTGGGACTGGGATTGGGATCAGGACTGGAATTGAGGATCAGGGATTGGGATGAGGATGGAGTTTAGGATTGGGATTGGGATCAGGTCTGGGATTGAGGATCAGGGATTGGGATCAGGATGGAGTTTGGGACTGGGATTGGGATTGGGATCAGGGTGGAGTTTGGGATTGGGATTGGGATGAGGATGGAGTTTGGGATTGGGATTGGGATGAGGATGGAGTTTGGGATTGGGATTGGGATGAGGATGGAGTTTGGGATTGGGATCAGGACTGGGATTGAGGATCAGGGATTGGGATCAGGATGGAGTTTGGGATTGGGATGGGGATCAGGATGAGGACTGGAATTGGGATTGGGATCAGAGATTGGGACGGCAATTGGGGTCAGGGTGGGGTTGAGGATGGGGATTGGGATCAGGGATCTGGGATTGGGATGGAGATTGGGATCAGGGATCTGGGATTGGAATGGGGATCAGGGACCTGGGATT